TTATATATATAAATAATTATATATATAAATAATTATTAAATAATTATATATATAAATAATTATATTAAAGTATATACCTATTTTCATAACGTTTATAACTCATTCGAGAAGTTCCTCTCGTTATATTAAATTTTATATGAAAATTTCTTTCAAATGCGTACAATGCACGTTCCAGAAATTCCTGTGCCATCACTAGATCGCTAGACATTTTGTAAATGTCACTCATTTGTAATAATGAATCTATATGATATGGATTATCTCGTAGAAGAGCATAGATCGTATTTGGGTCTATGATGTAAAAATTCTATAATTAATAATAATGGTACAAAAGATAATATATATATTTATATTTATATTTATAAATTTATGTAATGAATAAATACCATGAGTAGCTACACGTTGTATAAAAGACACCTGGATAGATTGATATTGTAGAGAATGAGTGAAAGTGAAATAAAGAATTCCATCTTTCTCCTCTAATAATTCCATTCCAAGACCACTCTTTGTAATAGGAGGCCAATTTTGTCTTGGTTTTGCCAGTGCGGTCTTTTTAACAGTTCGTGCATAATTTCGACTGCGAATCTCTCTATCAACCTGTAAATCTAATAATTGTGAGGTTATCATACCCAACATAAAAAGTAACGCAAAAATTTAAATAAATCAGAAACTAATGAGTAAATATACTCACAACTCCAGAAGAAAACATTCTTCTCATTTCTCCATCATCGTCTAATAAACGAGTGTCAACAACCAGAAATGAAATATTTGATGGAGCAGAAGATGAAGAACTATTATTAACGACAGATTCATCTTTTAATTGCAGTGATGAATCACCAAATCTAAAAAGTGTAATAAAATAAATTTAGTTGAATAATTTTTATAATAACTAATTATAAAAAGCCAAAGATCACTATTTTACTTTTCTGAAACTTCTCGAATTAAAGTTTCCAATTCTGAGTCATTCATTTCTTCAACTTTCTTTCCTGATTTAGTCTTTTTATCCGAATCTTTAGTCGTAGTCTTTGTGGACATACTTTTTTGCTTTTTCTTTTTCTTTTTTTTCGAAGACACGCTCACTGATGAGGATGAATTTTTTGAGCTTGGCTAAATTATTCAATGATTCTATTAATATAAAGTCAAATGGGTATTATCAAATATTATATAACATAAACCTTTTCATTTATAATTTCATTTTCAGAATTTTGATCAACGTCTTCGTTCTCTTCATTTTCTTCATTTAGCTGAATCAATCAATTTTAAATAAGTAATCGAATCAAAAATATTATGTAAAATGGGAAGATTTTAACGTACTAAATCAAATAAATTTTTTTTTGGACGTTCTTGATCTGAATCATCGATAATTTCTTCAGAATCATCATTTAAATGTTTTAAAGAAAGTGAATCTTCTTTATTTACAGCTCTTTTAAAAGCACGACTGGACATTTTTTTTTTTTTCGGGAATAATGATCTATTCTATTGTCAAGAATCTAAACTTTATATTTTACAAAAATATTATAAAATTTAATATTTGTCTTACAAATTTCGTCAGTTATTACATTATTGCTACCCACCAGACAAGGAAGTGGAGAAATTTTTAATACTCGAATTATCCATAACGATAAGGGCGAAAATTAAAGTTGTTACACTAACGCTAGTCTTCTGATCTAAGCCAATCACATGCTAAATTTCGATAATCTAGGCCAAATTTAGTTACCATCTTACTAACTCTATATTTGATACCAGAGTATTTGAAACTACAACCATGCAGAAAATATAGGACGATATAAAAGGAATAAATAAATCTGTACATAACGATAAGGAGTAAGTCAATTGAATAACCTTTTTAATGCAGTAATGTTTTAAAGATAATTCTATATCTATATATCGACATTATTTATCAAATTTGAATTAGACTGTTCGTTCAACGTTTTAAAAAAATTTTCAAAAAAAAAAAAAATTTTTTTATTCTCGTATTATTTCTAATATAACTTATATATATCTAATTTTTTTAAAAAAACCAATCTTCGAAATATTTTGAGTAACATTAACGTTAATTATAATTATACTTAATTAATATATTTATCTAATTTTCTGGTTTTATATATAGAAGGTGCCTAGAAAGATCTCAGAGTGAATAAACTTTTTATTGATCTAATTCGAAATTGTTACGACTTGAAGGAAAAAACTAATTGATGATTGAAAATTCGAGTTGATGCCAAATGATGATACGTACGCGAAATTGATTCCAATCACTCCAGTCTTTATTTGCAAATGATAACAGTTACGTGAATTCATAAAAAAGAAAACTTGATCTTAGCATTTAATCATGCCAATGTATAATAAAAACAGTAAAATTGAAAATATGAAGAAAGAATTTCTGATATTTATTGCTGAAATTGGATTACGCTGAAATTTTGCCGTATTTTATTATGAAATTGTAAAAATTTTTTAGGGCTTTTTTTTGTGGTCTTTTTTTTACAGTTAGCGTTTTATTAATAAAAGAGTATATGTGGATTTTAGTAGGTATTATAGGTTAATAGAATCCCAGATTTCAGCATAGCATAGCATAATCTCCCACATTTATTTAATCAGTTAATCGATTAATCGTCGACAATCGATTAGTTGTCTAATAAAATTATCAATCGATTAGTTGCCAATTCGATTA